ATTATTATTATTATTATTATTATTATTATTATTATTATTATTATTGTTATTATTGTTATTATTATTGTTATTATTATTATTGTTATTATTATTATTATTATTATTATTATTATTATTATTATTATTATTTTATTTCAATTATTTTTATTATTATTATTATTATTATTATTATTATTATTATTATCATTATTATTGTTATTATTATTATTATTAATATTATTATTATTATTATTATTATAATTATTATTATCATTATTATTATAATTATTATTATTATCATTATTATTATTATTATTATTATTATTATTATTATTATTATTATCATTATTATTATTATTATTATTATTATTATTATTATTATTATTATTATTATTATTATAATTATTATTATCATTATTATTATAATTATCATTATTACTATTATCATTATTAATATTATTATTATTATTATTATTAATATTATTATTATTAATATTATTATTATTATTATTATTATTAATATTATTATTATTATTATTGTTATTATTACCGTGTGTGTGTGTGAGGAAAGGGAATGACGTACTACTGACATCATGCCCTCACCCCTGCCACCCACCACCTTTGCCACCCCCCTGCTACTCTCTGCCACCCCTGCCACCCTTTGCCACCCCCTTCAGTGCTTGTGATAGGGACGGTGATCTCTGACTCACCTGTTAAGAATGATGTTGCGTCTTATCTTCTGCTGTTACCAGGCTTCCTCCTCCTCCTCTTCCTCCTCTCTTCTTCCTTCTTCCTCCTCCTCCTCTTCCTCCTCTCTTCTTCCTTCTTCGTCCTCCTCCTCCACGACAGAGAGGGAAACAGACAAGAAGAGAGAGAGAGACAGACGTATGATACAGGAGTCATTGTGTGTTAACTAGCATCTCTGACATACCTAACTAATATACACTGTGTATTGCTGGCCACGTCTCCCCCACCTCTCCCTGTATAGTGTGTGTGTGTGTGTGTGTGTGTGTGTGTGTGTGTGTGTGTGTGTGTGTGTGTGTGTGTGTGTGTATGTAATTAGTCTCTGTGTGAAACTTTAGTATATCTATGTATGTGAATGTAAGTTTAGGTATTCAGACATATGTGCGTATTATGTCTGTATTTACATATATAATTACACCATTTTATTATTAAAGGTATTTGGAAATATATACTAACCTAACCTGACCTAACCTGACCCAACCTAACCAATTAAATATATATATATATACACCACCATCATATATCTCTATAACATTGTACATATGGTCACTAATTTAGTATAATTTGACCCTTATATAGTGTGGTATAGTTGACAGAGACAGAGACAGGTTGATTTAAAGGAAAGAAGAGACAGAAGGAGATAACTGACATTGAAATAGACAGAAGTAGATTGAGGGTGTGAGCCAAGTGGATAATTAGAGGTAGAGCCCTGTACCCTGGAGGCCATTGGTGGACCTTGTTGGAGTAGGGGTATTTGAAGACGGGTGAAGGGGTGGGGGGGTGAGAGAGGGGTGATGGAAGTGGGGAAGGAGGGAAGGTTGTAGGAATGAGGGTGAGGGGGATGGGGAGATGAGTAGAGGAGGGTGCAGGGGTGAGGGGGGAGGGAGGTGGAGTAGGGAGGGTAATGAAGGAGTGGTAATGGAGAGTGTGGTAAGGGTGCTGTTAGAGGTGAGGGAGGGGGTGAGGGAGGGTGTGAGGGAGAGTGAGGGTGGGGGGCGGAGGTGTATATTGGCCGTGTGCCGGGGTGGTGGTGAGGGGGGGAACCTTGGGCGTGTTGTCTGACGAATCTGATATATCCTGGGCGTTTATCTGACAGGGGGGGGGGGTGGAGAGAGAGAGAGTGAGAGAAGAATTGAGAGAGAAAGAGACGAGATAAGAATGATTAAAGGAACGTGGCGTGAGAATGATAACAGAGGAAAAGAGTCGTGATTCATCTCGTCCATCATCCACTGTCAAAATAACCCGTCATATGTAAACAAACAATTGATTTTGATTTTTTTTCCCAGGAATATCTCGGTATGAAATGTTTTTTTCCCCAGGAGTATCGACTGTATATATTCCTTTAGTAGTCATTTCGTAGGTATTGAGATAAATTTATTTTGTTTTTCCCAGGAGCATCGACGACAAGGACGAATCACCGAGCAATCACGTCGTGTTTATCAGGAGCCAGGTAAGGTATTATTATTTTTTTATTCTCCTAACAGTAAATATTAACCTTGACACAATTGCCAAGGTTTATTGTATATCTATAGTGTGTGTGTGTGTGTGTGTGTGTGTGTGTGTGTGTGTGTGTGTGTGGCGGTGCGGGGTGAGGGGTGGGTGCTCAGATGATAACACTCCTTATACTGCAAGTTAGTGAGGTGAGATTATCACACTGATAACACTGAAAACATTCCAGACACTTGTAATATTGATAACTGTCCTTGAAACCCGTGATTAATGTTTTTATTTTGGGGGGATTTTTTTATATTTATTTTTAGTTATTTTTTTCTATCATCAATGCCATTAGCGTCTCCCTCCTTACTGCGTCATGTGTACCTGGTTACTCTCTCTCTCTCTCTCGTGTGGGCTATGATGTAAACATTTTATACTTCGGTTCCTGTTCAACTTTTCCTCTTGGTTAGTTTAGGTATAATACTGTGAGTTACGAGTCACGTTAACATTAGGCACCAGGGTGTTTTACCTGATGATTAAGCACCTAACTCCCTAACCTAACCTAACCAACCTACCTAGCCTAACCTAACCTAACCTAACCTAACCTAACCTACCCTAACCAACTAACCTAACCTAACCCTACCTAGCCTAACCCCCTAACCCTAACCTAACCTCCTTGAGGTATGTGAGATAGTTGTGAGTGACAGTGAGATGTGTGAGTGAGTGACAGTGAGAGATGTGTGAGAGTGAGTGACAGTGGGGATGTGTTGAGTGGTGACTGTGAGAGATGTGTGAGTGAGTGACAGTGAGAGATGTGTGAGAGTGGTGACAGTGAGAGATGTGTTAGAGTGAGTGACAGTGAGAGATGTGAGGTGGTGACAGTGAGAGATGTGTGAGAGTGATGACAGTGAGAGATGTGTTAGGTGAGTGACAGTGAGATGTGTGAGTGGTGACAGTGAGATGTGTGAGTGGTGACAGTGGAGATGTGTGAGGTGGTGACAGTGAGAGATGTGTGAGAGTGGTGACAGTGAGAGATGTGTGAGGTGAGTGACAGTGAGAGATGTGTGAGGTGAGTGACAGTAGAGATGTGTGAGTGACAGTGACAGATGTGATCCACCAGCATCACCACCACCATGCACCACCATCACCACCACCATACACCACCATCACTATCACCATACCTCTTGTTCGGGTATAGTGTGTGTGTGTGTGTGTGTGTGTGTGTGTGTGTTGTGTGTGGTTTTGTGTGTGTGTCTCTCTCACGTCACCAGGATGACAGACTGTGGTTGTTGAGGTGTCGAGTACTAGGTATTAGTCTCGGGTGTGGTTGTTGTCGGGTTGTCAGATGTGTTGGCTATCGGTTTGTCGGTTGTCGGGTATTAGGTTAGGCGGTACACAGTAGAGGGTGTCTAATCTTCAGGTGATTCGAGAACAGTATCGTAGAAACAACCTCTCTCTCTCTCTCTCTCATGAACCAAGCCAAGCCAAGCCATCACCACTTGACTCACGGACATACCAGATACATTACGCTTCAAAGCCAGTCACACACACACCTGCTTGAACTGACTTGACTGAGTGCTCCATATCCGTAACTACTGAAGCACTGACACAAACACTTGATGAGGTTTGTGGTAATGTGATCTGTATTTACGAGGAGAGGTCAAGGAGGTGTGACAATGTTAAGATATATATACCCGGTCGGTGTTGACAGGGTCCTCTCCACGTTTGTTTATGTTGCCTGTGTACCCCGTCCTCAGTGGTAGCTTTTGTTGTTATTTTCTTGTTATTGTTGTTATTATTATTATTATTATTATTATTATTATTATTATTATTATTATTATTGTTATTATTATTATTATTATTATTATTATTATTATTATTATTATTATTATTATTATTATTATTATTATTATTATTATTATTATTATTATTATTATTATTATTATTATTATTATTATTATTATTATTATTATTATTATTATTATTATTATTATTATTATTATTATAGCTTCCTGTGTTCGCCATCTTCATTCATTCATCCCAGGGAGAAAAAATAAATACTGAACAGGAAATGAAGTCTCTCTCTCTCTCTCTCTCTCTCTCTCTCTCTCTCTCTCTCTCCTAGAAACTACTACCATGACACACACACACACACACACACACACACACACACACACACACTGTATCCTGTGTCTTAAATTAGATATTTATTCAACAGTTTGGCTCTCGTCTGTCATTAAGTCTTTATTGATGATTATTTAGCTGTCAGTTATATTTAGAACTTTAAGTGGAAATAGAACCTAACTCAACCTAATTTATCAGGTGACCAGAATTATAAAACATTGATATACATAAATGACCTTCAGGTGTAATTAAACCCTCAGGTAATGATAGACAGGTGTCAAACCAGGTCAGAGGTCAAGGGTTAGTTGTCTCCTCACCTGTCATGGACGTGTACTGGAGGTGATAGCCAGGTAATTAATTAGTTTCATAAGAAGACTACCAGACACACACCTCCTGCCTCACCTGACAGCACCTCCACACACACACACACACACACACACACACACACACACACACACACACCGGCTATCAAAGGAACACTCATTTGTATTCGTTTATTTATCATTATTTTTCATTATTACCTCACTACCACCACCACCACCACCACTACTACTACTACTACCACCACTACCACCACCACCACCACCACCACCACCCACCACCACCACTACTGCACACCACCACTACCACCACCACCACCACCACCACCACCACATACACCAGCGCCACCACCACCGTGAGCCAGGCAGGACGAGGCAAGAGTTAAGGGTTCCTCCTCCTCCTCCTCCCGCGGTTACCTCTGCAGCTCTGTCTGTTGTCTGCGGTAGTGTGTTGTGAGCAGTGAGAGCGGGAGGACGCACGGAGGTTGGTGCGCGCTACCCTCCGTGTGGTGGTGTGTGGTGGTGGTGGTGATTACTGTGGTAGTGGGTGAAGGAGGCGGTACCACTCACCTCCTCCATGGTGATAAAAGCTACCATACAGCTCCTGGTGTGCCGTGACGCACCATCTAGAGAGGGGGAGAAACTACAGTGTGTGTGTGTGTGTATGTATGTATGTGTGTGTAGTGTTATTGTGCAAACCTCCTCCTCCTCCTCCCGACCAAGGCACTTCTGGGCCCGGCCTCCCTCACCCACCGACGGCATTTTCCCTAGGATGAACCAAGACGCCAACACCATCGACCAAAACGCATCCTCATTCCTCTTCAATCTTGTTTAAATTTTGAATTAATATAAAGCAACTGGGAGGAGGGAGACGTGTGTGTGTGTGTGTGTCCCGATGAAGCTGCTGCTGCTGCTAATGGTGGAGAAGGAGGTGATGGTGTGTGTGTGTGGGGCGCCTCCTTGTCCGTACTGGGTAAAAAAAAACACCCAAAAAAAATCGAGGAATCTCATACCGAACACTGAAAATATTTTGATTATCTCCCCCCACCTTGATTGTCTCTCATCTCTCACTCTGTCTCTCACCTTGAACACCATCATCATCTCCCTATCTCTTCTTTCATTCCCTCCTGTAGAGTTCTCCCACGTTTGAATCATATCCGAGAGAGAGAGAGAGAGAGATAATACTAAGACAAGGTGTACACAGTGAAGGACCTCTGACGGAAAGGGCAAAATGTTTACTGAAGATTTTGCATGAGTCACGTATCCCCCCCCTACCCCCCCTACCCCCATGACACAAGGGAAACGAAGTGTAGAGATGTGTAACTTACTAGCCTGTGTGTGTGTGTGTGTGTGTGTGACTATTCAACAAACCAGGAAGTATACCATTATTTTATACCTGTTTTATACAATGAATATATGTGTATATCTTTCTGTTGTTGTGTATAAGAGTATTGGTTATTCATTGGTTTATTAATGTGGTATAATCAAGCTATTGACAGTATACCAGCTAGTGACAGTATACCAAGCTAGTGACAGTATACCAAGCTATTGACAGTATACCAGCTAGTGACAGTATACCAAGCTAGTGACAGTATACCAAGCTATTGACAGTATACCAGCTAGTGACAGTATACCAGCTAGTGACAGTATACCAGCTAGTGACAGTATACCAGCTAGTGACAGTATACCAGCTAGTGACAGTATACCAAGCTATTGACAGTATACCAGCTAGTGACAGTATACCAAGCTAGTGACAGTATACCAAGCTATTGACAGTATACCAGCTAGTGACAGTATACCAGCTAGTGACAGTATACCAGCTAGTGACAGTATACCAGCTAGTGACAGTATACCAGCTAGTGACAGTATACCAGCTAGTGACAGTATACCAGCCGCCATTGACAGTATACCAGCTAGTGACAGCATACTGCTTTTCATTGACAGTATACCAGCTAGTGACAGAGCCAGCTAGCACAGTATACCAGCCAATGACAGTGCTACCAGCTATTGACAGTATACCAAGCCAAAGACACAGTATACCAGCTAGTGAGACAGCATACCAGCTAGTGACAGTATACCAGCCATTGACAGCATACCAGCCAGTGACAGCATACCGCCATTGACAGCATACCCGCCAGTGACAGTACCAGCCATTGACAGCATACCAGCCAGTGACAGCATACCAAGCTATTTATTGCATAATGTTTAAAGACAGTATACAGCTATTGATACAGTATACCGTTGTAGTGACAGTATATCACATTGGTTGTGCATACCAGCTAGTGACAGTATACCAGCCAGTTTAGGTTAAGTATACCAGCTAGTGACAGGCACCAGCCAGTGACAGCATACCATTAGACAGTATACCAAGCTATTGACAGCATACTGTGCTAAAGGACAGCATACCTGTATTAGTGATGTATACTCAGCTTAGTGAAGGGTATACCAGCTAGTGACAGTATACCAGTTTAGTGACAGTATACCAGCTAGTGACAGCATACCAGCCAGTGACAGACACCAGCTAAAGTGGCTGTGCATGTACCAGCCAGTGACAGCATACCAGCTTAGTGACAGTATACCAGCTAGTGGACAGCATACCAGCTAGCACAGTATACCAGCTAGAAGAGACACAGTATACCAGTGACAGCATACCACCAGCTAGAAGTACACAGGCATCAAGCTAGTGACAGTATACCAGCTAGTGACAGTATACCAGCTAGTGGCAGTATACCAGCTAGTGACAGTATACCAGCTAGTGACAGTATATCACAATAACTACACAAGGTTAATATTTCCTATTTTTAAGTATACATTATCTCAGTATATTTTTAACAGTATTAGGTGTCACTTAAATGTTAATACCCTCTTATAAAGCTAAGTTAACATTCCCTTTTAACATTGTGTGGTGGTGGAGTGTGGTAGAGGTATGGTAGAGCTGTGGTAGAGGTGTGGTAGAGCTGTGGCAGAGGTGTGGTAGAGCTGTGGTGGTGAGAGAGAGAGAGAGAGAGAGAGACCAGATTAACATATACCCAATTTCATCATCACATTCTTTAACAATTTCAAACTATTTTTCACTATTTATATTCAGTAATCTCTATATTATTTTTAACATGTTGATCTGAGGTTAATGTTCGTTAATTCAGGTCTTTTGGGTGATAATTATAAGTATATTTCGTTGTTTTTTCGTTGGTTTTTGGTTGTTTGAAATCATTGTTTGTTTACTCATGGTAGACTGACATAGATATTTTTATATGTTAAATTATTTTGTTATTATCATCTATATATATTTTCATCCTGATAAATTAACTTGTTGATTGTTATGTAACTCAGTGTAATGGAAGTGGTTAGGTTAGGTTTGGTTTGGTTAGGTGGGTGGGTAGGTGGGCCAACTGCGTATCTATGACTGTAATCTTTGGGTTGGGTCATGGAGTACTTTAGTAGTTAGTTGCTATTAGTGGTTAGTGGGCTAGTTATTAGTAGTAGTTAGTGGGCTAGTTAGTGGTAGTAGTGGTTAGTGGGCTAGTAATTAGGGTTGACCATTGTTTGTATACCTGTACTAGCTAGATACATTGTTTATATACTTGCCCACCCATCTATCAGTCCACCCACTTACCCACCCACACACCTACCTTACCCACCCACACACCCACACCACTCCACCCACCCCACTCCACCCACACCACCACCCACCCACCCACCCACACCTGACTCCACCCACCCACCCACCCACCCACCCACCCACCCACCCACCTAAGACACAAAGAATCTCAAGTATTCAGTGGTCGGGTTCATCATCTTAATGGGCTCTCCTCCTCCTTCTCTTCTCCTCCTCCTCCACCTCCCTCCTCCCTCCCCTTCCTCCCCTCTTCCTCTTCCTCCTCTTCCACCTCCTCCTCCTCCTCCTCCTCCTCCTCCTCCTCCTCCCCCTCCTCCTCCTCTTCCACCTCCTCCGCCTCCTCCTCCTCCTCCTCCTCCTCCTCCTCCTCCTCCTCCTCCTCCTCCTCCTCCTCCTCCTCCCTCTCTTACCTGACTTGACTGGTATATACAGATCGTGAGGAGGTTTTTTTCTTGTAACTAATTATTTTTGTTGTGTGTGTGTAGTTGAATGCATTGTGTGTCCTTGTATGCCCTTGTATGCCCTTTTTATGCCCTCAGTGTCCTTGTTCGTGACCGTGAATACTTGGTTTAGTTCCAGTGTGGAGGGAGGGAGGGGAGGGGGGAGGAGGGGAGGAGGGGGAGGTGTACTTGGACAGTGTAACAAGGTAATATGTGATTGGCTGTTTACGGGTTGTTACTTCTTCTTCTTCTTCTCTCTCTCTCTCTCTCTCTCTCTCTCGGAGCTTAGGAGAGAGAGAGAGAGAGAGAGAGAGAGAGAGCAATGGTTCCTTCAGTACTTACAGGGGGTAATTACTGCCTATCTTAACCCAGTGCCTTGTTCACTGTCTGCCTATCACCCTTCACTGCCCGCCTATCACCCTTCACTGACTGCCTATCGCCCTTAACTGCCTGCCTATCACCCTTCACTGCCTGCCTATCGCCCTTCACTGTCTGCCTATCGCCCTTCACTGCCCGCCTATCACCCTTCACTGCCTGCCCACGCCCTTCACTGTCTGGGCTGGGCCTATCGCCCTTCACTGCCCGCCTACCACCCTTCACTGTCTGCCTATCGCCCTTCACTGTCTGCCTATCGCCCTTCACTGCCTGCCTATCACCCTTCACTGTCTGCCTATCACCCTTCACTGTCACGCACTTGTACTTGTGGAAGAAAAAAACGCTAAGTCCATAATTCGTTAAATGGAGGTTTCACTACCACATCAACCACATATCTACCACATATCTACCACACATCTACCACACACCTACCACACAACTACCACACAACTACCACACTACTACCACACACCTACCACACAACTACCACACTACTACCACACAACTACCACACTACTACCACACACCTACCACACTACTACCACACACCTACCACACTACTACCACACTACCACACAATCCCCATAGCTGTGGGTGGAAGTGGCTTATCGTGGTGTGATAATAAGCGCAAAATTAGCACAGACTTATTTAAAAGCCGTGTTCTTAATTATCTTATCAAATACAGGTGAGTGATACTAGTCGACTAGGCTTTAAAGCTAGCTCTCTCTCTCTCTCTCTCTCTCTCTCTCACTCACACACACAACACGTACACACACGCACTGGTGAAAACAGCTCGAGATATGTAGGGTAAACACATACACATACACACACACACACATTACACATAGGCTTACGTATGGATATGTAGGTCAATATGTAACTTATATGTTGTTGTTATGTTGATGTTGTGACGTCACCGACCACTCGCCTTCTCTCTCTATTTACAAACACAGAGACAGGCGGGATGGTTGGGGGGGGGGAGCTTAGTTCACCTGTTTGGGTATATCTTGTGTATGTATGTATGTAAAGTGTGTAAGTATGTATGTATGTCTATGTTTAATAATACACCGTAAACTAATAAATCAAAATAAATTATTGACACAAAGCACAAAGGTCAATACAGTATTAATTCTCTACACTGTAACCCGTCATTAACTCACATGTCTTCACTATAACCCTCAATTAAATACGTTCATAAATGCCTAAAAAAAAGTAGTAATAAGAAAGTATAATTTTTTAAAGTTTCCGCCAAAGTAGTATGAGTATTTAAAGTATCTATCCTAAATTATATATATATATAAGTTCAAAATACGTAAAAGTTTTAATAATTTGGTGAAGAAAACAAAAAATATCCAAACTTTGTCTTCATCTGTTCAAAATACCTAAAAGTTGTGGAATTTTAAACTTTTTTTCTATCTTTTACTCGTAACCTTTGTCGTGCTAGATAAATGTCCTTAAATAATGTTAAGAATTTCTGAAGACTGTGTACAAGAGAGAGAGAGATGGTGTGTGTGTGTGTGTGTGTGTATGTTATTAAAGACTAAGCAATGGGCCTTCAGAGTTACCAAGTGTTGTTTAATCTTCCAGGAGGAGGAGAAGGCGTCATAATTAGTGTGTGTGTTTTCTTGCGTCCAGTGTGTGTGTTTGTTTGTGGGAGGAGGTGAGTGGTGTGGCATTGAGGCTGAGAGGGAAGAGAGAGAGAGAGAGAGAGAGAGATCAAAACAGAATTTAGCTAGTCAATATAAAATAAACACTTGTCTTGTTCTGCTCTTACTACCGTGTGTGTGTGTGTGTGTGTTGTGTGTGTGTGTGTGTGTGTGTGTTAAGTATCAAAACACAGTCAACATCTTTACCTACTTTGTGTATATTATTTTATACATATTTTTAATACATATTTACTATCGTGTTGTAAATATCATAAACTTGTGAATGGTGTTGTAATGACCCTGGTAAGTGTAGGTATGTGAATAGGTTATTAGATATGAGAGAATTGACCATTAATTCACTCTAAATCACAGCTAAATGCATCCCTCTCCCGTGAACCTCATTATCAGTTAAGACACTTGGGCCGGACAGGGGGGTTACTAGATCAGTGTTTGTTTCTATATACTGACCAAGAAAACACCGCTTTCATTTAATTGGACAACACAAGGTTGTACGTTAATAATGCGTATTAATGTGCATTATTATATACGAGTGGTAGGGTGGGTTTTATGTGTCTGTGTGTGGGTGTGTGGTGGGGGAAGTTGTAAGTTTAGATTGGTCTAATTCCTTGTGATTCCCATTAGGTCAAGTTTGTATCTAAGGTCAAAGGTCATACAGTACTAATTAGAAGGTGGTACTGTTGGTCACTCGTATTGGTAGTCAGTGTAGAGTGGTGAGCGTCGATAGCTTACTAAGATGGTAGTCAGTGTGTGTGTGTGTGTGTGTGTGTGTGACCCCCTCCCTAGTTAAGTGGTAAACCTTGACTCAGAGTATGGTTGTAGAATGGATAAATGTGTGTTTGTGTGTGTGTTTGTTTTTTGCTTGCCACTGGTGTTTTTGTTGTGCTTTGATTGCATAGCCTATCTTCTGTAGGTTACACACACACACACACACACACACTACCTACACACACTCTCTCACATATAGTATTTACATATATACACACACACACATGTTAACATTGCATATGCTTTCACACACACACACACACACACACACACACACACACACACACACACACAGGGAAGAGGCCAAGGGGAGTGAGTGAGAGGAGATTTTGGGGTAGTGGAACACCCAGGGTAGACCAACGTTGATGGTGCTGATAGTGAACCCGAGGATGGTGATGATGGTGACAGCTGCCGGGGTCAGTATGGTGGTGGTGACTCGAGAACGGTGAATCGCCAACACTGCATCACCAACACTACTACGTCACTCCCCCAACATTCCCTGGTCTCCAATTTTCTCCAACAAAACTCCTGTGTACTTGATCTAATTAAAGGAATTGTTTAATGAGTCACTCTTGTAAAACGTACACATGAAGACCTGATTATCTCTTCTCTTTTATTCTCTTCTCTTTATTCCTGTTATCTTCTCTTATTCCTGTTTTTCTCTTCTCTTCTCTCTGTCTCTACGTCAAGGTAGAGACATATTGTTATTGTTTAGATATTTTCTCTCTCATCTCTTGACGATAAAATATTGTTGTTTACCTTCCACCCACTTAATGGCGTCCCTAGCAACCGTGTTTGTTCTCGGATGGTGATTGGTCGGTGGTTGCTAAGGGAGACGCAACGCCGCATCTGTAAATTCAATGCCATTTTTTGTTTTGTTTAGGGATATTTTTAGATTATGATTGATTGATTGATTGATTGATTGATTGATTGATTGATTGATTGATTGATTGATAAGTTAGGAAAGGTGGAGAGATGATAATTTACTAATGCCAAGACTCTTACACTGTTATTTCGTATTTCAGTTTCAAACTTTTAAGTGAAAGTACAGAACATTACCAGTGACCAATGAAAGCTAGTGATCCCAAGAAACTACAAGGAGATTGGCTGAAAACTGACCAATAACAGTGACCGTCGTTGAAAACTAACCAATAACAGTGACCGTCGTTGAAAACTGACCAATAGCAGTGACCGTCGTTGAAAACTGACCAAGAACAGTGACCAATAGCAACGACGTAGAGAATAATAGTAATAATAGCAAAGAAAAGGAACAATTAAGGTGGTAACGGAGGATGTGTAGAGAAAGGAACACTGCTACTGGAGAGAAAGTAGCAGTCTCCCTCAGAATAAATCCAAGCATAGAAAACTAACTAGACTAGAGAAAGTAACACCAGGGGGAGAAAGTAACACCAGGGGGAGAAAGTAACACCAGGGGGGAGAAAGTAACATCGATAAAGAAAAAGTAACAATCGAAAATAGAATCATCAAAGAAAAGTCACAGGGGAAAAAAATAACACTAGTATTCCATAAGTAGCAACACCAACAGGGAAAGTATCAGGCTCGTTCCGTAGCAGGTAGCAGGAAGTGGGCGTTACGATGAGGAGGGAGACTCGGGTAGGTGTGGGCGTGGTGATAGTGGCCTTATGGGTAGGTCTCGCCACGCCCACTAGCCAGCCCTCACCTGAAATCAAGACTGAAGCTCCGCCCCCAAGACCTGAAGCTATCTACGCCCCTGAAGGTAAGACATATGTACGCCTTTATGTCTCACTAGATAAGACAGACATAGCTAAGATAGACGTACATACATAGTTGAGACATACATACATACATAGTTAAGACGTACATACATAGTTAAGACAGACATACATAGTTAAGATAGACGTACATACATAATTGAGACATACATACATAGCTAAGATAGACGTACATACATGATTGAGACATACATACATACAGTTAAAACATACATACATAGTTAAGACATACATACATACTGATAGGTAATACGTAATTAAGACATAGGTAGGAATAAGACATACCCATGTACTTGTATATCCTACACTTAATGGATTGGAGATTATTTATAAGAGTGTGTGTGTGTGTGTGTGTGTGTGTGTGTGTGTGTGTGTGTGTGTGTGTGTGTGTGTGTGTGTGTGTGTGTGTGTGTGTGTGTGTGTGTGTGTGTGTGTGTGTGTGTGTGTGTGTGTGTGTGTGTGTGTGTGTTGCAAGAGGCAGTGGTAAAGAGCATCTGTGTTGAAAGAAGAAGAAGAAGGAGAAGGAGAAGAAGACGAAGAAGAAGAAGACGAAGAAGAAGGAGAAGGAGAAGAAGGAGGAGAAGAAGGGAGGACTGTTGTTTTAGATGCCATAATCATTGTTGTTAGCTAATTGTTGGGGTCATTATTAGTAACAGTGCCATGGTGGAAAGGATGGCACTGGCACTAAGCAGAGACCTAGTGGGTGGTAGAATTGGCTGTGTGGGGAGGAGGAGGAGGTTAGACTGACGCTGTGGGAGGGAGGTGGTGAACTGGCTGAGGGAAGTGGTAGACTGGCTGTGGAGAAGTGGTAGACGGCTGAGGGAGAAGTAGTAGACTGGCTGTGGGAGGTAGTAGACTGGCTGAGGAGGAAGTGGTAGACCTTCAGCTGTGGGGAGAAGTGGTAGACTGTGAGGGGAGGGTGGTAGACCTAATAGGGGTGGCTGTGGGAGGATTAGACATTGGCTGAGGGAGGGAGAGTATCCTGATAAGGTGTTGGTATGTAGACTGGCTTTTGTCAAGTGAGGTAAGGATGATTGGAATGTCTCTCCTTCTCATCCTCCACCCCCTCTTTCTCTCTGTCTCTCCTCTCCTCTCTATCTTCTCTCTGTCTCTCCTCTCCTCTCTCTCTTCTCTTCATCCTCCTCCAAACATCTCTCTCTCTCTCTCTCTCTCTCTCTCTCTCTCATTTTCTCCTCTTCCCCATTACCCTCTCCTTCACCCTCCCTCTTCTCTCCCTCCCTTCCTCCTCGTATATATGATTATCCACCTCTGTCTGTCTGTCTGTCTGTCTCTGTCTGTCTCCCGCGTTCCAGAGGTAAAGTCAGTGAAGTGGGGCTAAGTGGTGACCGTGGATGAGGTGTATCAGGGACTCAATGCGGGCAGTAAGTGATCTTAGTTCGGGCCATTGTCTGTGTGGGTCTACTGCCAGTTGAGCTGTGTCGTGGGTCTTTGTGACAGGGGGGGGGGGTGCCAAGGGGTGGTTGTCTGAGGGGGTGCCAACGATGATCAGCTCAAGATATAAGATAAAGTGTAAGTGATCGTTAGCTTGATGTCGCTTGTTTTGAGTAATGATACGGAGGAGGTGCCAGGAGGAGGTGCCAATTCAGGGAGTTTACACATGGCACTGTACTCTATTTTATGGCACTGTTCTCTTTTATGGCACTGTAATGTACCGTTTATTTTATGGCACTATACATACATACATACATACATACATACATACATACATAGGACTGTGTATAGTCTCAAGTGAACAGTTCCCAATCTCGTATTTGCTGTTAAACGTCATTTATTACGCTTTAGAGAACAACGATTATTTAGTTTTTCTCTAGTCAATAAACTTACTATGTAAAACACTTAAGGTTAATTGTGTGTTTAGATGTGAAATTTGTATGTTTAATGTTTGAATGTTTGGTATGTGGGCAGGATTTAGGGACAGAAACAGACAGAAAGCGAGAGACAGACAGACAGACATCCACGTAGCTGCTCACTGGAAGGTTAGAATACCAACTAAGGACAATAAAATATCCCAAATAATGCTCAGACAATAGCGTATAAGGCTACAGGAGTCTTTTTATTCAGTAGATATTTAAATTTATGGTAAAGGCTCATAAATTTAAATGTTTGTTTGTAGCGGTTGTTTTTATGAAGACTTTTAAAGCGTTCTAGTAATTCCCCAATGTCCCTTTAAAGTGATCGAGGAAGTTTGGGGGAAAAATGTTAATCTCGCTTTAAAATCTTTAGGTTAATGGTATTTTCTGGCGAGTTAATTGATTGGGAGGAATAAAATACAGTTGTTTGTGGATATTTGATGAGGTATTGGGTATTATGGTGTTTATTAAAGGTTGAATGTAGGTGGTATTGCAAGATGGCGTGGCATGTGGTCTAGTCCCCCTACCTACTGCGATCTTACAACTTCCATTTCCTCCCTTGCTTTTTCTTAGTCAAACAAAGTGCCGTAGATTGTGGAGGGAGGGATGGAGATTTTACCAGATTGTATAGTTCATTCACAGAACCAGCGGTCAGTCAAGGTGTGCCACAAAGGAGGGTGTATTTATTATTCTGAAATAGTTCGCGGCTTCTCAGTGCTTTACACCGACGCCAAGGTCAGGGCTGGCTGGCTGGTTGGGCTGGATGTTTTTTTATATTTTATCACGTTTACTCTCTCACTACCTCTACATATCTTCACTACACAATGATATTATTTCCCATCGATATATTTAATAACATATAATAAATTTATATTAATCAATCGTATTTTATATAATACAGAATATCGAGAAATTGAAATAGATTATATCTCTGGCAACGATGTCGAGGGAGCACAGGATGGCGTCGCTTCTCTGCCAGACGTTAGATCAATCGGTAACAAAATACACCAAATCTCTATGATAGAACGGATTAATTTCCAGCTAAAGCTTTATGATATATCCCTTCGTTATCCTAGAGGTAAATTTTAAGCTTAAGATACGCTAGAGAGAGGATGACACCGTGAGAGAGAGGGGAAGGTGGGGGGTCAGTTGTACCAGTGCTAAATCAGCCAACGTTTAATTTATAACATGCCAGTGTTTGTGGTCACATTATTAGCGGGGTTGTGGAGTGATGTAATGTGGTATGATGTAATGTGGCATGACGTAATGTGGTATGTGGTATTGTGTGTATGTGGTGGTATTGTGATGTGGTATATGGTATTGTGTGTGTGTGTTGTGAGGGAATACCACTCATACCAGGGAGGATATACTTAGCCATTTCCCAGACATGCCATTGATACCGCGACCTCTTGAAGATCATACCAAAATACCACGTGACATACCACAGTGCTACTCACACCAGCCATACCACACTTGCTGAGCCTTGTACCACACGTCTAATCATACCAGATACCTTATACCAAGTGTCATTAACCATACCAGGATTTATAAGTCATACCAAGAATCATACCACTGATACCAGGAACCATACCATACCAGAATTCATACCACTGATACCAGGAACCAAAACAAAAGCATATACCAGGGTTTCAATACCATAAGAGGTACCAGGGCATAATAACAGCAGACGTGGTACTAGGCAGAGCAGCACAAGGTACCAGACATGACTATTAAAGACGTGTTGGTACTAGTGGTAGGTACTGAGACTTCCTGGTTCGTGTGTGTGTGTGTGTATGTGTGTGTGTGTGTGTGTGTGTGTGTGTGTGTGTTGTAAAAGAGATGCATTGAATTTGGTCAGGTTACGTGGGTGTTCGATGGGCGGATGTCTGTCTCTATCTGTCTGTCTGTCTATTTATCCTGTGTTTTGTCTGGTCTGTCTATTGTAGAGTTTAAATCTCTTCTTCTCTCTCTCTCTCTTCTCTCTTTCTTTCTTTCTTTCTTTCTCTCTCTCAGCAGTTAATGAGAAAGGCAACAGCTTTTTCCCCATGACGACCAACATTCAAACTGACAGTCATCCCAGAAACCAAAAGAGTCATGTATGTATGTATGTATGTATGTATGTATGTATGTATGTATGTATGTATGCCAAACAGTAGACCAATAACATCATGAATAAGGAACACCTGCCCTTAATTATATCAACCACCTGTGTTTCATTACCCAGTGTTTGATCCACATTCACCCCAACCTTATTTTTGGGGTGTGGGTTTTGGAATTAAGTTAGGTTTAGTGGAGGTTAGGTTAGGTTAGGTTGGGTTAGGTTGAGTTTTGTGAGTGGGTTAGAGATAATGAAATAGAAATAGTGAAGGCGATAAAGGGCAGAAAGATAGAATGATATGAGAGCGAGAAAGAGTGAGAGAGTTAAGTAAGAGAAAAGAGAGATAATTGAGAGAAGAGTGAGAGAGAGATAGTGAGAGAGAAAGAGTGAGAGATAGTGAGAGAAAGAGTGAGAGAGAGAGATAGAATCGGGAATCCTTCAAGCAGTTGTTTATATAAGTGTTAGAATGGGGTCAGAATGTCCAGTATGGAGGCTACAGTGGTCTTTGGCTCCCTCCTCCTCTCCTTCCTCCTCCCCTCCTCCTTCTTCTTCCCTCCTCCTCCTCCTCCCTTCTTCCTCCTCCCTCTCCTCCTTCCCCTCATTCTGCCTCCTCCCTCCTCCTTCTTCCTCCTCCCTCCTCCTCCTTCTTCTCCTTCCTCCTCCCTCCTCCTTCTCCTTCCTCCTCCATCCTCCTTCTCCTCCTTCTTCCTTCTTCCTCCTCCTCCTTCCCTCATTCTGCCTCCTCCCTCCTCCTTCCTCCTCCCTCCTCCTCCTTCCCTCCTTCTTCGTCCTCCCTCCCCTCCTTCTTCCTCCCTCCTCCTCCTTCCCTCCTTCTTCTCCCTCCTCCTTCTTCCCTCCTTCTTCCTCCTCCAGCCTCCTCCTCCTCCTCCTCCTCCTCTCCCTCCTCCTCCTCCTCTTCCTCCTCCAGCCTCCTCCTCCTCCTCCCCTCCTCCTCCTCCCTCCCTTCTCCCTCCTCCTCCTCTTCCTCCCTCCAGCCTCCACTCCTCCTCCTCCT